CAAAATTTTAATTGTGACAAATTTCAAGTGTCTAATGCTCATTTTATTCGTTATAAATTTGGACATTGCAAGGCTCCTAAGAATGCAAGTGCGCTGAAAAGTGAGCCGAATAAAGTTTGTACTGATCTCGGAAGCTTGAACAGAAGCGAGTACTATTGTATCATCGTTGATGAGGAGTCGTTCATGGTCTGTTCGTATAACTTCGTATAATACGTGGGGCAAAAACGTACCGTCTGATCGTTGTCAAATCCGGTCGGTCCGTAGACAATAGTCACCGGACGAGTTTTGTCTAGAGCGTGGGCGTAGTCGACGAGGCTTCTGAAAGCATGAAATTAAATGTTTTTCAGATTCAGCGGAATGGTTGCTCTTGGCGCTGTTCTTTAGCTATGTGGTAACCAGTTGGCGCTGCACGCTGTTGCTTGATAACGCAGTTTTGCAGCGATATGGAACGGTGCGGCAAAAATTCTCCAAGTCAGCTCTGTACACCACGAATATTTGGCTTGCCCTTCTGAGCATGGTTTGATCGGATTCGGTCACCGCGCTATCTCTAAACAATATTGCGACTTTGGCTCGGCCCTCCAGTGGCGGTTAACGTTATTCCATACGCCTACTTGGACCCACTTTTTCCCGGTATGCGGACTGTCTCTTAGCAGAATTATGAAGTTTCGTGGCGAACTAACGCCCTCTTCGCCACACGCCCAACCCAGTAGTAGCAGTTGAACACTTTTTCCGTCGCGAACCCCCATCCACTTTTTTCCCGGTCTCCAGGAAATAGCACGGATTTGAGGCGGTGTGTACGCTGCTGGAACATACGGTGACCTTGGGTCTTAGCACATCAGCCTTGTTGAGTCGCTTCGCAAGTGGGTGCATACTCTGCGCTTGCGTTTCACTCCATATTTCTCGCACAGGCCTTCAAATCAATTGTCGCGTCGCGAAGGTGACAAACAAAAAATGCGCACGCGTGGTGACCTCTTGCAACAAGCCTTTGATTTTTTGTGAACTAGGATAATTTCAAGGAAATGTATGAGGTTCTAGATTCCAAGATTTGTCATCCTGCCTTAGAGGAGCGGAGGAGATCATGTTTGGATTGTTTAATGAGCAAGAGTAGGGTCAGGGGAGGAGGGGAGGGAGGAGGGTAGGCGGGAGGAAGCAGAACATTGGGAAGAACTGTCGATGAAATCGTGGATGAGAATTGCAACACGTGAAGCGTGATTCGCAGGGTTTCCCTGGACTTACTCTGTCTCCCGAGGTAAAAAAAAGTGGCAAAGACTGCACGTTATGTGGGTTTTTTCTTAGGCCGTTCCAGCTACCTGCATGTTGCCATTCTTTCGAAATCTTATGGGATCGGAGCATATGGGACCTGAGGTCTATGCGTCTGAGAATTATACCTGCCACAGTACACAAAATATCCTCACAAACTCACTTGAAATACGCTCTGGACTCCTTTCGATCGGTTTTTGGTTCATTTGCCAAACTCCACATAATCGCAGATGGATGACATTTGTCACGTTCAATGAGTTCCTCGAGCATTTTCAAGTGGAGGAGGTTATTGTCTTTTGAGAATCCTCTGAAATAGCTGATTTCCTTACGAATCAGCACAATTTACAGTAATCATACAGTACTTGAGCCCTACGGCCGGTGTCTCGACGACCACCGCAATTCCCCGTCGATCACTTTCAGCCATTCGTTCCTCAGCATAAGGATAGTGCGTGGTACGGTAACAGTTTCCGCCCATCCATTCCAGCAGGTTGAGATCCTTAGTCATCACTACCGGGTTATAGCCGCGACCATGAATCTGTGAAAGCGTGAGGTATACTGTATGAGATACGGTAGTTCAGGCACTCCAACCTCAAAGTCCTCGTGCATGCCGAAACCAAGGCAATAGAATGGTTTGTCATTGATGAGGATCTGTGATTGGCTCCAGCCGACCGTACGGAAACCGAACTTCTGACGATAAACATCCAAACGAAGCTGTTCCCGTGGCACCACCAGTTCTACCTATTCAGCGAATTTCAGTCTACGTAACTGGAAGTGGTAGTGAAAATATAGGTAAAATGAAGTAAATGCTAGCACTCAATCACACGGGGGGGGGTGTGGGAGGTTCCTATGTGCATCTAGGGCTAAGTCTCTGGAAAGGGTATACTACGAGGCTGCTCTCCCACCTTGGCGTCTCTCTCCCTATGTACGGCTTTTTCTTGAAACTCTAGGCTAATGAAAGTAAGTGCTCTGTAATTTTAAACCCATTACGCCAAAAATTCAGAGGGAAGAAACTGTATGACTTTTTCGTGGGGTGAATTGCACCCACGTCAGCCAATTCTCCCATGTTGAGCACGCTGCGCGCCATAAAATCCGCGGCAGTCACCCCAAAAGGTCAGACCGCGTCGCTTTTCCCTGTTGACTGTGCTCTCTTTCGAACATATTGCCCCATGCCTATTCCATTTGACACCGAAGAAAACATTTCTTTGCTTGTCTGCGCTTTAGCTTTTTTGAAAAGAACCATGATTAAATTTTAACGCAGTTTTTCCACGATATGCCATAGTGCAGACGGATGAAGAACAGCGCACAGCAGGGATTCTAATTGCTGCGAACTAGTCATGGTAAGGCGCGACATATACTTTTGTCATGTAGAGTCACACCCTTTCCTTATCACCTTGTTAATGCATGACGAATCCGTAGAAGGACTACAGACGCTCCAGGATCAACTAGTGTAGATTCTGCACGCGAAAATGAAAACGTTAAGATGGCATTGAAGAGGGAAGGAAAAGAATCCGTCGGAAATACCGAACCTAAAGGAAGGTTTCACAGAAACTTGGAAGTCGGCGGAGGGAAAGCATATCGGCTAGGGAGGCAGGCCCTGAAGTGTGCAGGAGATGCACGTTTCACAGCGAAAAGAAAGAAAGCCCTGTAAACATCCACCAGTTTCTAGCGCCTGCCTTCGGACTCTAGCCGCATATTCAAGCCGCTCTAGCAGAAAGGCAGGAAGAGACGTTTCCGATGATGGCATATATTTATTATTGCGCACTCAATATACTTGAGTACGCATTTTATCAGGCGTTGTACTACTGCTACTCATACAGAATGTAATGTAACACAGCTCATCCTGACCAATAGGGGCCTGTTCAACGCTGGGCAACTTTTGATAGAATGTGCTCACCTCCAATGTATAGAGATTCGGTTCACCCATTCCTCGAGGCCACCATGGTCTCACTGTTGACAGTGAGCCTTTCTGTTCAAGACCACGGGCCGAGTACACCTATATGAATTTCGTTGGAAACGATCAAAAAACCCTTGATGAATATTCGGTCGGTTGACTTACCACGACTCCATCAGGATCCAACATTCGCACAATGACGTCTTCATCGGAACGATTTTGACTCAGTGTGACTTCATAAGAAAATGATCCTGAATAATAAGAATAAGAAAGTATCCGGAAAACCAAAGCTCAAATGGAATGTCATCCAAAGGTAAAAATCGTATCGGCGGTCACTCCGGGTTCTATACCACGGAGATCTTTACCATAACACCGCGGCTCCGAAGGTATCAGATCACAATTAGATCTGCAGCTTACATGTTCCTGGCAAATAGATGTCACACAGAACGGCCGCGAATGTACGGAATTCAAGGACTTCAGAATTACTTTGAGTAGTTTCAAATCTTTCAACTCAAACCTTTCAATGCATCTGAGTGATGATACCGTAGATTACTGATAGTAATACATTATGGATCTTGACTGCTACTTGAAAGGTGTAAATATATAAGTTCATACGTCACTCACAGCCACACCAATAGCCGCCATTAAAAAACCCATTTCGCGACAGAACAGTCGATACTAACGTAGGCTGAACACGAAGATGCTCACTTGGGACCATGTCAGCCACTGGTGGCTGACGGCTTCAAATGGAATTTTTGAAAACAGTAGGAGGTCTTCGAAAAATCTTCTCCACTGTGAAATTATCTCTTGTACCAACCCCGGCTCCCCGCAAAACATAACTCGATCATGTAACTACTCGATAGGCTCAGACCCTAGCAAAAGGAATATCATGCCACTAACTTTTTATTGCGCGAAAAAATTCATCCTACTATCAAAATTCTCTGAAAATGTTGATTTTTTTTCCTCTGAAACTTCTCCCATGGGAGTTATCGAGGGTGCTAATCACGAAAACAAGATCCATTCTCGGCGCTGGCGCCAAATTGACGCCATCTGGCACCAAATGGCGCCAGAAATGGATCCCATAATCGTGATCAGGACCCTTGATAACCTTCACAGGATAAGTTTCAGCGTGGACTACAGATGATCTATTAAAAAACACTGAAAAAAAAAACAAGATATTTTCCCTTGACAATGTCAGCCACTTGGTGCTGAAAACATTTCACAATCGCTATCGCCGGCGAAACTAGAAGTATAGAACGGCAGAAACAGCGAAATCCCGCGCGAGAAGGGATCCCGCGAATGGGTTATAGGGTGACCATGTCATGAAAGTAGTGACTGAAAAATGATGAGCCGGAACCGCACTAGAGTTCGCGATGATCCTAACATAAAACATCCACGATCAAATATGACTTGGCGAGTTATACCAATGATAAACGAATGCGATTCCAGCGTAGTGAAGAATCAAAATACCAACATTTTGAAGGACCGTTTAGTTCGAGAATCTAAACTTCGAAATTATATACATTGTTAAGCAATTCGATAACATAAAACATGGATGGAGTTTTTGACTTGCCATTATGAATGTTGCGGCTTAGCTTTTCTCTGTAGAATTCGAAGAGTAACAAATCATTAGTCCTTGGACAATCTTTTCCAATCGGTGTGGAGGGCAGAAATATAATATTAAGCTCATTCGGATCAAAGAAATAAGTAGTAAGCCTCAGTTAGCATCAGTGGCATGAGGCCTGACCGACGCTAATAGTGCATCATTTTTGAAAGCACTGCTCGGAAAGGCGTGAAAGAAAAATGCTCTGAAATGAGATCGGCATTCGGAAATCGGAAGCCGTTGAAGACCCACATTTTTGCCGTCAATGAATCGTGTAGTATCCTTCATGTAATTGAAATCGCCTTGTGGAATTGTCGACCATGAGAGAGTGTTGTTTACAGCAACAGTGATCTACAAACATACTATTAACATGTCTCAGCTGATCAATTGTAAGTACTGAAACATGAGATAAAGTAAAGATGTGTTTAAAAGACATTTCAGCTTTTTCCGCCTTCTAGAAAGGGCTAAACGCTGTAGCGTAAAAGCTACTTATTGTTTTCGTAAAGCCTTAATCTACTTGAAATAGGCGTTTTGAAGTTTCAATCTGCTTGACCTTCATAAAACAATTTTCCGAATAAACATTGAGTGCTGATGATCTCAACAATGAGTTTGGAGCTTAGAACTTCTTGACCTTCTCCAGCTAGGGAAAATGGCCATTCAACCGGTTTTTGTTGAGAACCCTGAACGCCTACCTTATTCACAGCTCCAAACTTGACCAGCCTTGTGACATCAAATTGGAATGGCAGATGTCCACCTACATGAGATCCGACCTCTTGTGAGTTGAAGAACTGAAAAATGTCATGAAGCGTTTTCTTTCTTATTTAAACCCAACAGTCCTAGTGAATCGAACCAACCACTTTGGCGTAGTAGTTGACGCTGCCAAAGCGAAGCGCTATACGCTGACCCCTGTCGCGGTCAGAAATGATCACCAGAGTCTGGTACCATACCCAACCAATATGATCCCGAAGATCAGCACTTGCTGAGAGATCATTGTAGGCGGCTGGCACTGGCATCACCGTTGCATTCTGCAACACTACAACAAGGCGAATATACTTGTATCAGGGAAGCATTGGTCACAGAGGTTAGGATTTCGATAGACTGTACTATAACATACTGCATATTGCACCCTCAAATTGGAATTGCGCACAGGGTAGACCGCAGCGTTAGAGGGCTTTGAAATCAGTACGAGCCTCCCCCTCTGGAGGCCATTTTCAGAGCATCCCTGAATTTCAGGTAAAACAATCCTCTACTTTCCTTCTACACATTATGACATCTCCCAAATTATAGCGCCTATGCAATCAAGTCAACGCTCCCCTTTCCCCTCAACCGTTGATAGGAACCTCTATGTGGGACTTTTTTCAACTAACGGTTAAGCTTTACTGCACAGACTATTCACTTTGCCTCATTTTCACGAACATCGCAAGCTTGACCATAATTGGTCCTTGAGGCGCTGAAGGCATATTCCCCGCTCCAAATTAATCGTGATTTTCCAACAAGGAAATAAAGGCAGCTGTGGATCAGCAGTGAAGAAAAAGAAAAAAGTGTGTTTCGACATGAGAGAGCGCAGACACCCACATGTTGCGAGTGTAGAAAAATGGAAGCGATCGGAATAGCCTTGGGAAAGCCTTAGGAGCAGGCACTTCCTAGTTGGGTGAAAGAGATAGCCACTTTGGTAGACAATTATGTACTATTTTCTCACCAAAGAGATGATCTACTCAAACTCATGATGGGATGTGCCCTGATAGGCTGATAGAATGTCCACCGACTCAGCAAAGATGAACGGCTCTTTTAACGGCTCCGCTCACTTTTAGAGGGTTGATGTACACTCTTCGCAGTGTGCAGGTTTAAAGGCAAGAATCAGGATTAAATTGATGGGTTGATTCCACTCAAATGTGAAAGTAGGGATGGGAGGTGGACCGCCAGTGGAGAAAAAAGGAAAGAAAATCCTGAAATACACAGGAAATACGAGCATTTTGCTCTATGCTGTGGAGAAGTTCAAAAGACAGGCAGGGAGATGAGAGATAATGTGAGCGCGGAGAGTGGTAGAGAAGTCCGAGAAGAGAGAAGATATCGAATGGTGGGCGGACCATGTTAAGTTTGGTGGAGTCTGTTAGAAGTCCATGGCGCCTAGGGTCCTAGTGGCGCATTTCGATGTAGAAAGGTGCGCTACCTTTGCACTTGCGTGCCCAACACTTAGCATGATGAGGTCTTCTAAGGTGGGTCTGAGCCGTGAACTTTGCCTTAAAGAAACGATGCGTGAAAGGAATTCATAATAATAGGATTCTCATAACTCAAATTTTTATGCTCGAAAGGACTAACACAGTGGTTAGCTAGACCCTTGCAACAAAATTGTTGTGGATTTTCGGTGAAGAATTACAATTAATCGTCAGCTTCCATTACTATTTAAATTCTCTATTTAGTTATAGTTATTTCTAGAAGGTGTTGCTCCAGCAAACGACGAGTGATCATTTTGAATTATGGTCTGAAAATTTGTGGACTCACAGCGAATTTGGCCAAGTCCATTGCGTACCACGAGGAGTTCATTCCAACATCGTCCGAATTAGTCTGCTCCCTAACGAATGTCCATAGACCGTCCCAATCGTGTCCAGCACTACGCAACTCATTTTTCTGAAAAGTTTCCCAATGTATAGTTATTGAGGATACTTCTGTTGCTGCTGATTAAAACTCGATACTAATCAGGGAGTACTTTGAACTTTATTTGAATATTGCGCAGGCGAGCAAACTTACGACCTATTGCCTATGGAACCAGAACCCTTCCACTACGCTGGCGAGCTCGACTCTATGCAGATTAGCTCACCTCATGAACGTACCTCCGCCACGTCATTTAGCACTTTTAAAATCCATATTTTTTATAAATCGGCGCATAAGACTGCATCAAACTACAGGTCTCCTTCAAAATTCCATGGGAATTTCGAAGCACTTCCTTGTAAGTGTCCTCTCGTATACACATTCCATGATGGTAGAACGATAGTGATAGGATTCATAAGAAATTAGTACATAGGTTCCACGCAAAAAAAAAACAGAACCTTAGCAGGAAAGAGGTGAGGGACCCCTCTTCCCCCAATTATTTTGTTAACATTGTGAAATGGGTTGGTTTGGACCAGTAAACGTGAGTCGGGTAGGGAGAAAGGACAGGGGAGCGAGTAGGACCGAGTCAAGCGAGACGCAAATACCTTCACGCCAGGTCTGTCCATTTCTTATTTTTATATTTAAAGGATGCATTTATTGCTCCCTATCCATTCATTATTTAAATATTTTCATTTTATTTTATTATTTCGTTTATACATAAATGCTTTTTTCTTTCTTAATTGGATAACAAAGGTGAAATTCCGTGATGCTGAGATGCAACGTCTCTTGATACTCATAGTAGTTTCGAGGATAAACAGCAAAGCCTTTTCGAATGTCAAACAGATTTTTTCGAGGAGATTTGAAATCCTACTCAAACTGCCGTCGCTGTTATATGCTAAAAAGCGCACTTTGCCACATTCACTACTTTGAATGGAAATAGAATGCGTGGCTCATCTCAAAAGGAGATTGATTAATGCGAATTCACCAAAATGAAATTCTTCACAATGTTTTTTCGCCCAAACTTCGCAGGTTTTTTTTGCGACTGTCATCCACGCTTGGACAGAATTTACAGTAAAACACCTTCTTCGGGCTCGGGTCATGACCTGATTACTTCCTTATCGGTGATTTGATTGATGTATTTCGATTTCGAACTTGGAAGGCCAGGAAGACCCATTTAGTTCAAACAAGAAATGAGATTGATTCGAACGGTATAGTATATTATTTCTGATTGCATTCAACGACAACCCATTCGTAAAAAATTTTGAACTAGCGCCATGTTCTTTCAAGACCGAATAAAAAACGGTTGAGCGAAGGTCTTCTAAACACACCTGAACAGCTAAAATTGCTACACATGACGGCGCTAGGGCTAGGACGATGAGCGCCTGCTATCATAGCCTGAAATTCTCTTCAATAATACATATCCTTCTGCTATTCACTGAAACCGTCATATCAATCAATCACAACAAATCACGGATACATTCCAACAAGGAAGAAGCATGTGAAGCAAGTATTGCTACCGCCTGCAGTAACACAACTTGTTGCGAGGAGGAGGTTTCAGCGTTGATGTGAAAGCAGAGTTAAAATGATTCACGCAGCTCGAGGGGTTCTCAATCTGCGGGGGGGAGCAGTCAATGTAGGCGGTACAAAGTATCGCGTCCATGGGGACGATGAGGAAAATTACGTACTGAATTGGTTAGGGACATCGCAAAATGAGACAGCAGGTAGTATTTCAGTGGCAGTGGCGCCTTATCAACAGCGTGATAAGGTGCCGAAATCCACTTGGGGGTAGCAAAAACAAATCCCTATCGATATGGAGGAGGTTGCAGTGGCAGGGGTGCTAGGTATGTGACCATTATCGTTATCGTTCAATTTCCCCCTTCTGAAGTCACCTCATCTCTAAGCAACCCGTATCTTCTCATCTTATCGTATCGTATCTTTCATGAGATTACGCTCGTTTAACAATTATCTATCTCAGACCCTATAGCCGATGTCATAGTTTGCGAATCGAGTGATTCGCTAGCGAATCGCTGGATCCAGCGTTGCACCAGCGAATCGACCGGCCCGAGCTGAATCGATCGAGCGCCAGCGACTCATGGTGGCGGACCGCAACTTTCAACAAGAAGCTCGCCATTTCACAAACAGTGTCACGTGACAGTGGAACCTTTTTGAAAGCGGCGGGACTTGACAGTGGTCACCTAGAGTCAACCGTGCGTTGCGCAGTTCTCAACGGCACGTTGAGAGATCCTCAACGCACGCTGTATGGGCGGAGAGCACAGACGGCTCGAGCATGCGAGTGTGAATGTTCGCGCGAGAGAACGTGTCTAATCGGGCGAAACTGCGCAACGTGGCCGTTGAGAACTGCGCAACGCACGGTTGACTCTGGCCGGTCGCTGGTTTTTAGAGTGGCGGCTTCCTTGAACGTTGGGTCCCTCCACTATTGAGTCGCTGGCACATCGTTCGATCCGCAAACTATGACATCGGCCTATTGGTCGACAACGCGAGGGAGCAGATTCACGTGGAACCCAGCGTGATCCCTTCCTTCGATTCAAACTAAACTTTTTCTCAATAAACGATTAGCAGACAATGTGTACTGAGTTACATCGCCGTGACATACAATGTTACATATATGTACGATTGAACCCTTGTCGCTGTCTATGCATTGAATCTACAAAAAGCGTTTGCGTCATCAGTTTGAAAGAAATAGATAAATATGACGTGAAAAATGAAAAAGGAAACGAAAAGTAGAAAGTGAGCGATAGTCCTTGGAAAGCACAAGGGGTACGATATCGATATATGGGAAGGGGTCAAGAATTGTGGGATTCAAAAATTAGAGTCAAGAGGAGTAGTTAACATCGAGCAGAGGAGTATGAGCACACAAATTGGCAGTAATGAAGTTCATTGAACAATTTGCTATAATAAATTATGCTATACCGGCTATAATATGGGCATAATTGCTACAGCATTAACCAGTCGTGAATCAATAAGTAATTTAAGATGTTGCGGAGAATTAGAAATGCACAGGAACCCAAAACATTGACTGGAACGTCAGCTGCTTTCTTATAAGTCTTGTGTAAATTGAGTACGTTATTTGAACAGGTCTGCGATTCCAATCTGAAGTCAGTTGCATTTCTGAGAATAGATGAAGGCCGATGATCTCGTCTTTGCCCCAATTACGAGGTCGGAATTCGGAACGAAATGAGCAGAAACTCTTGACGACCGGTGGATTGTCAGAGAATTTTAAGCATTGAGTGTGATCGGAAAGGAAAGCACTGCACTCACCATGGTGACAGTTCCAGGAGAGCTTATTGTTTGTGGGCTAATAGGCACTATACAAATTCAGTTATGGGAAACATTCTATGACAGGAAGGTGTGGCTAGTGGGATCCTGTATTGAAACTGTGACTGCTGAACTACCAGTTATAGAAGGTAAAAAAAAAACATCAAAAGGGCTCAATATGAGCCGACTCAATTTTTGATTGCTTTTGTGTACATATTTTGAGGGTTAGGGCGAAGTCCTGGCTGCTAAGCATTACGAGGGTTTTGAAGGCTCACCTATGGCTGGCCTTCCAACTATCATAATCGCACTACCTTTTAAGGAATCCAGCTCGGAGAAATTGTAATTCTATCTCACCCATTATCATTGGCTTGGGACCCATCGTTCACGATGGGAAAACAAAAGAGAACAAAAAAAATGCGTTTAATCTGGTAAAAAATTCGAAAACCGAAAGGGTTGCGACGCGTTCAGTATCACCGGAAATC